CTCGGGTCCTTGCGCTTGCAAGGCAGGCAGCAGAACCATTGAGCTAAATCCCCAGCCAAAATCTCCTATTCTTAGAGACTGATAATTTAGGGGAATAAGGTGTTGAGGTGTAGGTGGCCCCTCTAAACCCTTACTGAGTATTTGGAAGGGAATGCTCTATGTGCAGGGTGCCTTGGACATGGTAAAGAAAACCATGTGCTTGCTTCTGAACACTTTTCTGTCACTGTCAGGAGTGGGAATCGCTGTTGGCTTCTGGGGCACTGCCAGCCCAATGACCCAGGCCACCCAGGGCTCCTCCTGAACCTGCTCCCATGAAGGCTGGGTCCCAGAACCCACAGAGCTGCCACTGCAGCAGAGCCACACGTTGCAGTGTCACAGCGGGGCAGCTCAAGGCACCACAGGATGATGCCACGTGGGTGCCTGGCACCATGAGTCCTCTGGGCTGGGAAAGAAGGATCTGGATCCTGTTTCAGGCCACAGTCCAGGCTGCAGTGAGGTGGACAGAGGAGGGGACAGGGTGAAGGCCAGGTGGAAACACTGAGGACACCGGGCTTTGTATCTCAGAGCTGAGACTGTGTGTGGTACTCTGGAGGGGGCTGTGGTATTGCTGCCCATGAGAGGGGCCCATGAGGCAAGGGGACAAAGATGGGAGAGACATCAGGACCTGTCTCACTCTGCACACAAAAGGAGAGCAGCTAGGGGAAGGGAGAGGGGCCTGGCATGGCCTAGACACAAGGACAGAGGTTGGTGCCACCTTCACCTACATGGGGAGCACTGGATGCAAGGGAGACCGGCGGTGGGCCGGGGGAGGCCCAGGCATAGCTGTGGCATGTGCCCGTGCTGGGCAGGGCTCACCCTCGTAGCCGGAGTGCACCTTCTCTGCCAGCAGCAGGCAGCACAGCTGGCTCTCAGCCCCTGGCGGCTCCTGCACCTTGACCAGGTAGGGCGTCATGCGGAATGGCTGGTAGCAGACCTCATTCTCGTACTTCTTCCCAACACTGTTGAGAGGAGGGAACAGAGGGCCTGTCCTGCCTGCTGCTCAGCCCACCCCAGCTGTCTGAGGACATTCCCTGGGGGACCGGGCACACTGGAGGCAGCAGGTGCCTGGACCCTGCACACAGAAGCCTCAGTCCTGGCTGGCAGCAGATCTGTTGAACAACCTGCATTTAGACCAGGGAAGCTGTGCCTGCCCTGGGTACCCACCCAGGCCCCAGGTTGTGCACCAAGAGCCTACTTGGAAAACTGTGGGTCTTTGGCCAAGGAAACACATGCAAACCACAGGCTGCGCCCTCCCCAGCCACTGTGGGCAGCACATGTTCCTGTAGGTGACACTGGGAGGAGCAGGTGACCCTCCCAGTTGGCCACGCTGTGTACCTGCACACATTTGAGGTGTGGAGTGAGTCCCACAGCCCCTGCAGGGATGGGGCAGAGGGGACCAGGGGTGCAGAGCCAGCACCATACTTGCATCAGGGAGCTGGACTCACCTCACACGGCAGAAGAAAGACTTCTCCTCCATGCATTCCTGAGTAAAGGAATCTGGAAGAAATGGCCCCAGTCAACCACCTGTGCCCGGAAAGCAGTCCACTGCTCCAGATGGATGAGAAGCAGGCCGCACAGTGGCAGGGACGCTTGTTTACCAAGCACCAGGGCTTTCACCATTACTGCTTATGTAAAATGTGCCTCAAAAGAGTGCCTGCCGAATATGTAGGGAAATGTTACAGTCAGGAGCTTAGCATTTTGGAAATGATACACGAGGCCCTGCAAACACCCACTAGCGCTCCCCTCTGGAGTTCACAGGCTGTGTGCAGAATGTTCAGAGAAAGCCTGAGCACCCCACGCTATCTACTTTGGGGATATTCAGTTATGGAAGAAACAACCAGGGCATCCGGGAGCTTGCATCGGTACCCTGAAAAGTATCAACTTACTCCACCATTTAAAATGCCTAGTAACAACCTGAGCACCATGGCTTGGGTGACCTCATCAGTACTGCAGGACGGGACCTTCCCATGAGAGTTGGAAGACATTTTAAACAAAGGAATCTTAGCATGATCATTCGCATACACTCCCTCTGTTTGAAAGAAATGAACAATTATGAGGCTAAGAAATGAAACGGCTGGCCTGGAGCCAGGCCTCTGAGGATTCACCGGGCCCTGACATTACGGGGCGTCACCATGGGAGGAGGTGGGGGCAGCATCCGCCCCTTATGCGGTAAATCCACAGACAGAGCGGCATCCCTGCCAGTCCACAGCCAACCACGCCCGTGTCCTCTCACTCACCCTGCAAACGCAGTCCTCTGTTTTGAGACAGGGACGTGCTAAGTTTCCAGGAGGACCCTGAAATGGTGATTCTCCCGTCAGACTGATTACAGGCACACACCCCCAGGGTTGGCAGGACTGGGATTTATGAAGAATCCAGGTTTCTTTTGGCCCCCAGTTCTTGGGCTGCAAAGTCCAAGGGAACAGAGCCAGGGCCTGGCGAGGGCTTCTGCACTATGTTATCATGGAGGGACAGGGCAAGAGGGTGCAGGTGGAAGACACAGACAGGAGGGGAGCCCTGCTTCCAGAGGACCACTGCAGGTGACTCACTGTGCCCCAGCACAGCCCTCTCACACCTGAGGCACACACTCAGTCACCTCTTAAAGGCCACTTCGCACTGCATTTCAGCTCATTTCCCAAGGAGCTGTAGTCAAGCTGCCCCACCCACCCAAACCCAAGTCCTCGGGGAGCCGAAAGCAACTGCTCCATCCTGCGGTTCTAAATCTGAAGGTGTTCCAGCACCAACTCGACATCCCAAAGTCCATCTGTGAGCTGGTGAGGTCAAAACACACTCTTTACCTCCAAGCACAGCAGTGGGCAGCCGGGGCCCACTCTGAGGGGAGGGGTGGGCTCAGGCTGGGTCATAGGCCCAGACACATGTGAAATCAAGAGCACATTTGCCATGCCTCAGGCTGCGGGGTCCTCCTGTCCTCCGTGTGCTGCCTCCTGGCGCTGACACCTGCCGGGTCTCCCATTTGGGCTGCCCCACCTCCAGGGCTTTGCTGGCTCCATCCATACTTGGGGCTCACAGGCTGGGGCTGCACAGGACAGCTTCCCAGGCAACACGGATGGTGGCCCCATTTCAACGCCTCCCCCAGGCGCTGTCTGATGGAGACTGGTGACTCTGCTCCCTGGGAGGCGTCTGCCTGGACTTGAGGGATCCTGTGACAACTTTTGAAGTCTTGGTGCAGGAAGCCACACCTCCCGCAGACATAGCACCAGGTGGATTCTGCCCAGGATTGGGGCTCATGCTCTGGAGCCGTGGCCAGAGAGCTGTGCATGTGCTGAACTGGGCACAAGGCAGCTCCAGGCGGTGACCTTCTACTGGGAGCCTGTGAAGATTGGGCATCCTAGAGGGGCTCCCAGAAGCCTCCTCCCAACTGTGCAGACAGATGGCACCTGCTCTCTTGGCAGCTGAGCAGCTCTGGTAAATAGCTGCTGGCCACGCCTGTGGTTCTACTCTGCAGGGCAGGCCAACGTGTTCCACTCTGCTTCCCTTTGAAAGGTAACTTTTCTCTTCCTGTCCTCGCCTATCTCACTGTATTCAACAAAGAGCAGTGCTTGAGCGTTTCTTCCACCAGAATCCTAGCTCCTCACTCGAACTCCACCTTTCACCAGCCCCAGGCATGAACAAGACTCTGCCAAAGTCCCTGCTACTTTACCACGATGATGGCTTTATCCCAGTGTAGGAGGCCAGTGTGAAACCACAGCCAGCAGGCATTAGATGTTATTAAGATCACTCCATGGCCTAAGTGGGAAATGCTCATTGACCCTCAGCTGGTATGCAGAGATGGACTTCCCTGTGCCCATGGTCACAACTGAGGGCTCAGTGATCAATGAGGCTGTGATGTCTCTACATCAAGGAGACACTGCCGCTGAGGAGTTAGGATGCTGTGCAGCCGTTCTCCACCATCAAACGTTAGTCAAGATAGTGCAGGTGGCTCGTTAGCAGGATAGCAGGATAGCATGGGTGCCTTGTTACCTGGGACCTGTCCCTCACAAGAATACAGGTATTCCCTTTTCCAAGCCTGGCTTGGTAGTGCATTCACTCTGCTGTTCCCTGCATCTGCCTCATAGCCCCTGCTATGCTGTATAATCATAAGTACCGATGAATCCAGAGCTCTTCATCTTAGCCAGGAGAGAGCTGAGATCAGTTTCTGGCCCCCCTAGTAATAAACTAGCATTCATTCTTTATTCTTTATTTCCTGTCCTTTGTATCCCTCATCAGGCAACTGGGTGTCCCCCAGTGATTGGTCAGGCCATCAAACTGGCCTCAATACCTCAGTTTTCTGGAGATGCCCTTCCTCTGGTGTTCAGATTTCCACTGATGCTCCAGGAGGAACTCCCTGCTCTCCCCATCTTCTTGTCCTTTCCCAAGCCACATCACAGAGTCAGCCGGTGCACTCAGGCTTCTCCAGATGTCACTTTGTTTTTCTATTTTTTTTGGTACTGGAGATTGAACTCGGATCCCTGTGCTTGTGAAGCAAGTGGCGGAAGCACTGAGCTAAATCCCCAGCCCCAGATGTCACTTTGGAACCAATCCAGCCAGCACCACTGCCACATGGTTAGGAATCGCTATACCAATGTCCCTCCTCTTAGTACTGAGTTTGTTTCTGTTTTAGGCTTGTTCATTGCATAGTTTCGGAGGCTGTGAGGACCAACAGCACAACACCAGCACCTGTCCAGCTGCTGGTGAGGGCCACATGCTGGTCCCACTGAGGCCCGAAGAGACAACGCAAGGGGCAGCCTCGCTTTATGGTGACTCACTCCTTAGTACTGATCCATTCCTGGGAGTGACAGCTGGACCAAGAGAAAGGCTCCAATCCTTCAAAGCCACAAGGGCCACATCAATGTGAGTTTTGGAAGGAGACAAGCCGTATGTAAACCACAGCAGCTGGCATGGGAAAGAGCTGGGTCTCTCGGCAGCAGGCAGGGGAAGCTGGAGGCAGCCATGTCCAAAGCTGGCTCCAGGGATGGGAAGACACAGGCCCAGCTGGAACAGGGAAGGGAAGCCTGGACATGAGGCGCGTGGGATAGTGGAAACTGTCCAGCCCAGGCTGTGGGAAGGTAACACCCAGTGTACAGGCAGTCTACTGGGTCTGTGGTGCCCAGCAAGTGGGTGTTTTGCACCCAGAGGTGGAAGACTTCACAGCCTGGCCTTGATCGGCTGCCTCCCACCAAGGTGACAAGCCCTAAGAAGTCACTCTGCAAGATCCCATGCTTGTCCCTTATGCTGCTGAAGCCAAAGGGCAGCGGTTTTCCCACACCCTGCATGTCCAAGATGCCAGTTCCTCACCACGACTTTGTTTCTGAAGTGCTGAACACTTTTTGAAATCTTACCTCTGAAATTTGTAAAAGGACTGTTTTTTCTCTAAATTTCCTCTGAAGAGATAAACCACCGTTTTCCTTTCACCTCTGCCAGTAGGGCTGGTCTCTGGCAGAGGTGAGTGGGGAACCACCTCCCACACCCCCCAAATCTTCCCCCTTCCCTCAGGCCTTACCTACACCGCCACACAGGCCCCAGGACGGAAGCTTGTAGGGGGTGGTGAAGCTGTGGAACACGCTGACATCGTGGGGCGCCAGGAACTCCACAAACTTGGCGTCGCTAAAGGCATCATGCTTGCAGTGAAATGTGGAGGCCACTTGGCTAGAGATGTATAGGACCTTCCCTGTAACCAGGGACACGGCCGCAGCAAACATGTCCTGGAAAGGAAGAGTAGGACTCAGGTGTTGCAAGTGGATGGCAGGTCAGACAGCAGGCAGATGGGAAGGAGACCATAGGAGGTCGGGGGTCTCCAGGCCCCAGACTAGCCTGGTCCCAGAAGTTGAGGTTCACCATGAAGGCCTGAAGACCTGTCGTCTTGGGGGGACTCGGGTGGAGGGCAGCCCTCCTTCCCCTTGCCTGCCTATCACAGCCCTGCTCTCTCCAGGCCCAGGGCCGGGCATCCCTTGGTTACACTGGAGCAAGGACATGGAAGAGGCCAGGAGCCACAGCCCAGCACGTGCTGGACTGTCCCCCTGGCTGGGAACTTGGACCTCTGGTCCCCAGCTTCACTCAGAACATGTGGGCTTGGAGTCTCAGACTCCACCATGGCCAGGAAGCCTGGACAAAGGACGGCTACTAAGTCTGTCTCCTCACCTGCAGGGTGTGGACAGGCCGGTCGGGGTGAGGAGGGCCATGTCACACGGAGAGGTGGAAGCCTGGAGCCAGAGCGCGCTCCAGGTCACGGCCTCACCTCCTCCCCTGGGAGCAGTGCACCGCTTCCAACACCCCGCTCTCACCACGGAAGGCACGCCCTGGACACCGGCCCCGGGACTTACTGCGTTCTTCCCCATGTACTCAGACGTGACACTTTCCACCTGTGCCACGGTGTAGGAGGGCACATCCACGCTGCAGGGCTGGCTCTCGCTGGACATTAGCAGTTGGTAGTACTCCTCGTTAGCTGCCAGAAAACCATGTGCACACTCAGCAGGAGAGGCCAGGGTGGCGGCACAGCCTGTTGGGGTTCAGGTCTGTGTGGCCCCCAAGCCCCGTGCACTCATGGATGACCCTCGGACAATGATTGGACTCCGGGGCTCATAGCTGACTCGCTGTCTGGGGTGGGAAGAGGCATCACTGGGAGTGTGGCATGGAAGGGTGTGTCTTGTCCCTGGCCCTACCTTCACTCAGTTTCCTGTCTGCCAGGCCCTTGGCCATGCTGTCCCACCAGCCCTACAGACCAAAATGGGAGCCGGAATAAACTCTCCTCCTCTAAGCAGTGATGCTGGGCACTGTGCCTCAGCAGCAAGGAGAGTGATGAGGACTCTGTCCCTAACTCCTGCAGGTGGGGCTGCATTTTTCTCAACCACACAAGGCAGATGTGGGTGGTGTCTTCCCGGGACACGGCTGGCACTCAATTGGGATGCAGGGTACACTAAGAGCGGATGACTGGGCACCTTCCCTGGAACCTCCGCCTGGTAAAGGCTCTACTGAGGTAACCTGGGTGCAGCGTTCTCTCCCCAGAAGGATTTGTGATCGTGGTATAACACTAACTTAGTGTCTCATGGTGGTGGTGGGTCTCCTCATCCCACCCCTGGCTGACCCTATCAGACACCTGCACATGGCACCACAGACTGTTAAACAGTAAGCAGGCCCCAGACCCAACATCTGGAAGGAAGTGCTAGAAACAGGCTCTGAGCTCCTGTGGCCTGGCCCAACAGCAGGGCTCTGGGGTGACCAAGCTGGTCTTGGGGTGTCACTGCTCATGGGCCGCCATGGCCCCTGCTCCAGACAGATGCACAGGAGCTGGATCTTGTCCCCACAGCCATGGGCCCTTAGAAAGCTGGAACCCAGGGTTGTGGTTCAGAGTCCCAAGTGAGGGGGGAGTGAAGCTTTCTGTGCTGGGGTGCTGAGGCCTTTGGACCTCGGCTGGGTCTTGTCAGGGTGTGACCTCTCCACCTAAGACCTCCTAAGTTTTTTCTGTGTGTGTGGGGGTGGGTACCAGGGATTGAACTCAGATCCTTGAGCTTGTGAGGCAGGCGGTGGAACCACTGAACTAAATCCCCAGCCCTAAGCTCCTAAGTTTTGAAGGTGCTGCAAACCCCAAGAATTTCACACTCTGACCAACAGTCACTTGTGACCAGAGCTGCCAGCTGGTCAGGCGGACTCCCTCCAACTGTCCTTGGGCACATGGCCCCAGAGCTGAGTGCCCCACAGCAGGGTCAGGCCCCCAGGACACTAGGTTCCCATGCAGCAACCCAAGACTGACCAGCTCTGACCAGCAGCCAGGCTGGTTTTCAAAAATGAATCTCACAAAATGGACAGCTTGGGGGCATGAGGCTGCAGCAACCTTGGGCTGAAGAGGACAGATGCCCCAAGCTGTGGGCATACCCAGCACACAACACAGTGATATCGGCGCCCTGACACAGAGAGACTCCAGCAACCTACTGGCTGGCCAGGAAAAGCTGAGTGCTCCCTGATTACCATGAGGAGCCTTGCCTAACCTGGGGGCCAGGCCTCACCTTTGCCAGAGGTGCCACTCTCCACTCTTCCTGTTGTGATGGGCAGGGCCTGCCACCCTCGGGGCACTGTGAGGTGAAGAAGGCACACACCCTGACAGCCTAAGGTCACAGTGGGATGTACTGCTGAGATGGGGGTGACAGCCAAACACTCTCCAGCTCACAACCCTGTCACCAGCAACAGACTGATGCCTTCTCGGGCCAGTCGAGTGGTACCAACAGCTGAGCCCTTCTAGGAGGACCAAGCCAGGCTTGGTGCCCAGCTCAGGCCCACTGACCAGTGCCGGCCTCTTCTATGGCCAGAGCTCCCTGTGTGTGCTGGAGAAGGCAGTGCCTGTGCCCTGCCAGTGAGAGGCCAAGCGCAGGAGGACCAGGTACCCGTGGAGGTCTGGGAGCCTGTGGGTATGCTGCACGGTGAGCACCTGCAGTGTCTGCTCACAGTCTCCTGCATCCTCCCACGAGCCTTCCTCTTGCTCTTCACTGGCCAAGTAAAAGCCTTTCCTACTCTGCCTCCTGACACAAAGTCCAGATAGTCACACGTGGGAGCCAGATCTGCCCTCCAGAAGCTGCCTGGTTTCATAGCTGATGGCTGGTGCTGCTCTGCCCTGTCTCCTCCTTTCCTGGTTGAAATGGCCGGGGGCAGAAATTCACACAATTTTAGGCAGACAAGAAATGAACCACGAGAGTTTATGAATCTAAAAGCCGGAAATCTGGCAATACCCTGCTTCTTGCTTCCTTTCACCTCACACAGTAAAGGTGGGCAGGGCATCAACTGAAGGCAAGCGGAGTAAACACACGGGTGATAGGAGGAAGCAGTGAATGTTTGAGTTTAAAAAAAACACCTCAGTACAGTGAAAGACCACATTGCCAAGAGCCATGGGATAAGTGAGGGAGTGTCCATAGAGGGGGATTCTCCGCCATGCACCTCTTACTGTAGTATGGTTTTTAAATATTCACTGTATGTTTCGACTACCCCTCGTTTATCCACTGTTCATGGCAATTCCTGTCAACAACAAGACATTGTGTCCTCATGCATCTTATTCACCAGATCTGGCACTGTGTGACTTCTGGCTCTTTCCAAAGTCAAAATGACCACAGAGAGTAAAGGTTTTGAATGGATTCAGACATCAAGGCAGCCAAATAGTACAGCTGAAAACACTCACAAAAGAGGATTTCCAGAGCCACTTCAGAAAGTACCAAAAACAGTGGGATGAGTGTGTTTGAAGTGAGGGGAAGATTCTGAGGGGGATTAAAGGCAACGGTCTTTTACTCTGAAAAGTTTAAAAATATTTAAATATTTATGGTAAATTTTCTCACACCTTAGATTCTTTTATAGCCCCTGGCTTTTTATCTGTTGTTTTCCCCTAAAAGTCCAGTGCAGTGGAAAAGCTCCAGTGAACTGAGGCTTTTGCCATGACCTGCTGTATCAGCCGCGAGCTCCAGGGAGTCAACACTGCCTGTGCTCCGGTGTGGGTTAGGGTTACTCCCACCTGTGCGCAAGGAGCACTTACCTTTCACTTGCTTCACACTGCGCAGGGCATACTTCAGGGTGGCCAGTGTGCTGGCCTTGCCCTTGGCCTTCTTGTCCGCAGGGAGGTGGACCTTCAGCTCCCGCAGGGTTTTTATCAGCTCTTTATGAGTGTCTGCTTTGGCAGATTGCTCGATGCTGCGAAAGTCAAGACAGAGGCAATCAGATGTGAACTTCCTGGGTGTGATTTCTGGAGAAACCTGATTGGGGTGGCTTTTGAGGGGCTCCCCAAAGTGTTCCTTGGCATCTCAGCCTCACCCACTGAGGCACGGCGGCACCCTTGTAGTTATGGCAGCCAAACTGTCTGGGGACACTGACAGGAGACAGCTGCTCAGTACAAGCCCTGTGCTGACCTGAGTGCTTGCTGGAAGTTCCTCCATGGCTGCCCTCCCTGGGTCAGAGCTGGCTCTTGCCCAGGAAGGGCTGCCTGTCCCTGAGCTGTGCCCTTCTTCCCTGCACAGTGGGGATGGGGCCTCGCAGTGAGCCAGGAGTGCAGAGGAACGGAAGAAAGGGCTTCTGAGAAGGACACAGAGATGAGAGGATAGCAGGACAGTGGGCCCATGCTGATGGAGGCCGGCCCACAGACAGGTGCAGGGACAGTGATGGAAACTGTGTGTCCCAGGGCATGGTGGCAAAGCGCCCGCACCCAGGGATGAGTGAATTTTATTCCAGAGGTGACACGACAAGGATAATTTGTTACAAATACCCAAAAAGGGAAGGATGCTCGCAAGGAACAGGCCCAGGACTAGGCAGAGCGGGGAGCAGCTCCGGGGGCTCTGGGAAGCCATGGGGACAGTGGGCGTCTGGGTGGCTGTGTGGACTGGGGGCCTGAGTGGGCCTTGGACAAGGTCACAGCACTGCCCAGACCGGACCTCCCCACCATCCTTGCTCCATCCAGGTGTGGGGCGGGCCTCACCTGCAGCCGCTTGCAGACAGGTTGGGCTCAGGCTCAGCCATCATCAGGCCAAAGGCACTGGGAGAAGGAAAGAGAGGAGAAGCAGAACTCAGACGACTGCAGGCTCCATCTACCACCCCCACCCGGCCAGTGGAACTGCTCAGGTCACCAGCGCCTCAGCAGGAGGACTGTGGGGAAACATGAGGCAGGCTGTGAGTACTGTGCAGCGGCAAAGCACTTGCCTAGCACGCATGAAGTCCAGGGTATGACCTCAGCATGGGGGAAACACAAGATTAAGGTAAACATGAAGCAGCCAGCTGTCAGGAGAGCTGGTGCTGGACTCGGAGAGACGTGGCTGAAGTGGCTGGGCGTGGTCTCTCAATGCCTGTCAGTGTGAGCAGCTGTGGCCTCCCCGGGGCCATGACATTAGGTGCAGCATCCACTGGTCAGCAACACAAATACACAGTGGTGTCCTCATGACAGGGAAGGGTCCTTGCAAACTCTAGTTCCTCTGAGAGTCAGACTTTCAGAAATCTCGGGGAACTTGGTGCAGAAGCAACCCCATCACAAGCACCGAGGTTCCCAGAGAAAGCAGCCACTGCCCCACCTCCGGGTGTCGGGCGGCTCCACCAGCATCCCTTGCTCCTTCCCGTGGTCGTCGCAGTCACTGCCCTGCGAGTCCTGCCCCATGGAGCAGCTCTCGGGGGCTTCATTTCCACTCGAGCCGCTGCCCATGTCCACATCCTCTTGCAGAGAAGCCGGGCTGGGCCGGGGCTCCATGGGATCCCTGGTGGGGTTGCTGTGGCTCGGGGGAAATTCCATGTATCCACTCATGCTGGAGAAGCTGCAGGAGAAATGTCGTCAAACATTAGAAAGAGCACTGGGGATGACCTCTTGGTGCATTTTACTGACAAAACACCAGCATTACCAAGTCCCTCACTCCCATCTCCTGAGCTCCTCCTGGCTATAAATTAGGAAGGCAGCTCTTGGCCCTGGCATGGAAGTGCTGATAGGTGAGCACTGCCAACAATCTCGGGAGCTGTGTGGAAAATGAAGAGTCCTGCTGGATGGGAGGCGAGGCCTGGGAACCTGCATTTTATAATCTGCCTCTGATGAACCATCAAGTCCAGCAATCTTGGCTGCCACAGCACAGCAGAGTTACAGGAGACACTGTGGGTGGGGGACAAGGTATTAGGGAAGAGGGCTCCACCTCAGTGGGCTTTAGTCTAGGACCAGGTTGTGTGCAGGTGGGGAAAGAGCCTTCAGTTACCTGGTGGTCAGGAATCACTGTGTACCCTGAGCACCAGGCCCCCGGGGCTTGTGTGCATGGGGACCAGTCCACAGCTGACCTGCAGTGCCTTGCAGGTAGGTAGGGAGGTGGACAGCAGCAAGGCTCCCACATCCCGGAGACTGCCTGTGGTGAGCAGGGATCGTGGGGACAGAGACGATGGACTGGGGGGCAAGCAGCAGCTGAGAGCCTGCAGATGGAAACTGAGATGGCACTGGGTGGAAGAGGGAGGCCCCAGGATGGTGTTTCCTGCAGGATACTGGCAGGAAGCAGACACCTGCTCAGGCCAGGCATGGAGAAGACCTGAGGAAGGCACTGTCAGCAGGACGGCTCGGGCATAGGAAACAGAGTTCTGAAGTGCTGGGGGCCTGGGGAGAAGCTGTTAGTACCCTGGCCCAGAGAGGGACCTGGCCTGACCCCCAATCTGCCCAACCTCAGGGGAAGCCCAGCCTTCCCAAGCTCTGGCTTGGTGCCAGGTAGCAGCAGTGCCCTCACCAACAGGGGTCCCCAGAAGGCCAGACCAGAGGCCAGTGGAGAGCTGGCTCACAGCATCCAACCATCCCAGGACTGCTATTCCTCCTGTGTGCAGGAAACCAGGTTGTGGATGAGCAGAAAGGGTGACTTGCTAAGGACCAGACAAAGCAGACGTTGTACGTTACTTTTCTCATTGCTGAGACAAAATATTCGACACTCAAAGTTAAGGGAGGATAGGTTTATTTGATTCATGGTTTGTAGAGATTTCAGCCCATAGTCAGCGGGCTCCAAGGCAGGGCAGCCCATGGCAGAGGAGAAATAGTTCATGGCGGCAGAAGGCAGCAAAGCAAGCAGGGGACCCTAGCAGCTTCTTTCTGCCCCTTTTATACTCTAGGCTACTGGGATTAGGGTGGTGGCAAACCAGTGGGCTGATTAGTACCCACACCTGTAAGCCCACCATCACATACTGTAGATCCAGCCACCTCTAAAAAACCACCACCTGTGACTCCATGAGGCTTTGGGTGACATCTAGACACAGCCATAACACTGCAGGTGACAGGGTGGACTCGAGACTTCCCTGACTCTGAGGGGGGCCCTGTCAGTGGCCAGGGGCACTCGGAGGGGCTTCCTGCTGCTGCCCGAGCTCAGAGGTCTCTGGGCTGCCTTGGTGCAGCAGTGCTGCACGGCATCACCTTCCACATGGCACCGCCCAACCCTTCCAGGAAGGAGGTGGGAGGAAGGGCTTGTGGATTCCTGCCCACCCCTCCCTCTGCACCCATTTGAAATGACCAAGGATTTTAAAGCTGCCAGGGAAGGAGTGGGCTTTGAGCGACCCCGGAAATCCCAGAGATCATCTACCGCAAAGTCAAGGCGCTGCCAGCCAGCTACAGCAGGGCCAGGACGGAGTCCAGGAAGCCCCAGCACTGCAGCCACCCTGCCAGCCCTGCCACCAAGGGGCAGATGGGAGTGTGACCACTGGGAGACACCAGTGTGGAAGCTGCGGGCAGGATGGAGGCTCGGGAAAGAAGGCTGGGAAGGTGAGTTCTCTAGGCGTGCTTCCCAAAGCAGCCTGAGTCCCCTGGGCCACACAGAGGAAGGGTCCGGGTCACCTTGCAATGCTGTGCTGGCCACACAGCCACCCAACAACATCCCAGGACACACATGGCGGCCCCAGCACTATCCTTCCCGGGTGACTCCCGAGAGAGCACACGAGAGCAGGGACAGGAACACAATGACAGAGGCCTCGATGGACAGCACACGACACAGGCTGGGGCGTAAATGCCACAATGGATAACTGGGAGGAGGAAAGGCAAGGGCGAGGAATCAAGGACAAAAACAGTGGCTTCTGCAGAGGGATTGGACCCGCATTATGGATGGGGAAGGAAGCGCATGGGGACAGCTGGCTCGCCAGCAGCGGACGACTGTGAGGATGCACAGGCCAGCGAGGCAGGAAGCACAGAGGAGGACAATGCAAAGGACCTGTCCTGAGGGGAGGGCACGATTCTGGGAGGGCCTGACCCTGGGGACACCACGACTTCCACCCACGACGGGGAGGACAAACGGTTGCCTGTGCAGGAGACCCTGGCCCAGACAGCTCTCTGGTGCCTTCCGTCACCAGAGGTGCACGTCCACACAGCTTGGGGAGGATGAGGTGTGTCAGGAGACCCGGCCATGGGCACTGGCTTGTGGGGCGCAGACAGCAGGTATTTATTTGCATCCCAATTCCCAGCAATGCTACAAGGCCAGTGGGGCTCGCGTCAAAGACACAGGCAAAGCAAGCTGGACTGTTCTCTGCCTCTTCCGTGTTTTAGGGGAGTTGCTGTCCGTCACTCCCGCAGAAGAGGGAGGCCAAACACAGACTCCAGGAGGACCTCCCACAGGGGTGCCAATGAGGAACCAAAGGGAAAGAGGCCGGATAATGCCAGGAGGTGCCAGGGAGCCGAGGGGCCACCAGTCAGGAGGGCAGTGTGCAGGTGCAGGCTGGTGGCAGAGAGCATCCCCCCATGTCCTAGAGCAAGACTGTAGAGCCCGCGGGGCTCCTGGGGTCACTCTCCCTCTCCTAGAAGGCGATGTGTGGGCACAGTGTGTGTGATGACACGGGAAGGCCATTGCAGGGTGGCTGTGTTCCACCCAGGGCTGTCCACATGGCCGCCCAACCAGGTGCCAGCCTCTGCTCCAGTGGGCTCCTGCCTCACTGGGCACTACAGGAAGAGGCTCCTAGTGCTGGGTGTGCTACAGCCCTGTGAGCCCCTCCCCAGGCCAAGCACTTGGCTCTGCCCGCCCTCAGCCCAGCCCAACCCCGACCTCAGAGTCTCTGCACTTGGGGCTCCCATGTGCACACAGCACTGAAGCTCCTGCTCACCACACTGCCTTTCCCGCCTGCTCCTTCTCACCCCGCTCTGTTGATCCCCCCAGCACACATCAGTCCCCTCCTCGCTGACCCCCAGGACCTGGCACATACGGCGAAGGAAGGACACCCAGGACATCTGCACAGGAGTACCACATGCTCATCAAAAAAGGAACAGCCAGGGCAAAATGGGGAGACAGGATATAAGGAACAACACAACAAAAGACAGGCAGCACTGTGCAGAGCCTGTGTGGGGGACCTGGCTGGAAGGGAATATTGAACTTCGGGACAAAAGCACATAGGTTCTATGAGGAGTGAATGGTTAAAATGTGGGACAAAAGCACCCAGGCTGATGGGTGTGGTGGTGCACGCCTGTAATCCCAGCACTCGGGAGGCTGAGGAAGGAGGATCACCAATAGTATGTGACCAGCCTGGGCTACATAGTGAGTTCAGGCCACCTGGACAACACAGAGAGACCCCGTCTCAAAAAACTAAAAATAAAAGCACATAAGTTCCGTGAGTGAATGCTTAAACTAAGGGCAAAAGCTCACAGGCTGTGTGAGAATCAAATGTATATTCTGGCCATGTCCTTCCCCTTCCCTCAAGAAAAACTGCCCAGCCTGGCAACAGCTCTTGGCCCAAACTGCTTTTCTCCTGTTTTTTTTTTTTTTTTTTCTTTTACATCAAAACTCTAAATAACAGCAGAGCATTCTTGGGGCCTTTCCTCTCCCAGCATCGCCCTGATGGCTGGGCTCTCTGTGGAGCAGCAGCCCTTCTGAGCCTCTAGGTAGACTGAAAGAAATCTCGTCTCTGGGCAGTGTCCACCCTCCACACTGCCTGTGGCTGTGTACTGCCACGGCACTGCCTCCTGCTGCCTACTGCTCTGCCTGCCTGGCATTGAGGGATCCACATAGCAGCCCACAGTGGGTCTCCTCGCCCACATGTGGCTCGCTTTCCAGGCACTCGGATACTAAACAAGGAGCCAGATCCTAGGTCAGGACTGGGTGCCCTGGAGAAAGCGCGAGGCAGTGGCAGGCCACGGGGGACAGTTTCAGGGGATGATCTCTCAGTGCTGACCCCAGACATCAGCTGCCAGCCTCCGGCTCCTCCTGCCACACCCCCGGGGCCAGCTGCTGCCAATGCCGGGTGAGGCCGGGGGACAGGATATGGACTTCAGGGACAGCTGGCAGAGGAGCTGGCTGAAAATTCTCTCCAGCCCCCTGGGTAGACCTTGGGGAAGCGTTTCTGTTCTCTCCTTGTCTCCTTTTTGGACGCCTTGCTGAAGAGGTGTCTGTGATGAAGGACATCATCTCAGGAGGGCGTCCTCTTGTGTGCCCCAGGCTGCTCGGCCTCACTTTCCTGTCCTTCCCTCTTGCCACCCTGTCACCGCCCCTTCAGGAAAGCACTGACACTTCCAGTTTGCGCCAGGGTCCACATGCAAGACCCCAAAACCACCAGCCAGAAGAGGGAAAGGGGCATGGGCAGCTGCAGAGGTAACATTCTGGGCAGGGAGAGCAAGGGCAAAGGTTCTGGGGCAGGTGAGTTTCTGGCCTATCTGAGAAGATGGAGGAGGCCAGAGCAGAGCAGAAAGGGACAAGCAGGCAGGCAGCAGTTAGAATGCTGTGAGTCAGGGTCTGGTTATCCTGAGCGGGACCATAGGGTGGGTCCTCTGGGGCCCTGGTACTACTGAGACTGTCCAGGGTGCTGAGAACCACTGAGCCCAACACCCTGGACACCACTGTCTTGTCCCCACACCCCTAGCCCAGATGAGCGCCTGGCTTTTCTGTGTGGTTCAGTTACCATGGTGATGGGAGGCTTCAGCAGAGTAGTCAAGGGAATGGCCCTGGAGGGCCAGGGTTTCAGTGGGGCTCCACCACTTCCTGGCTGTGACCATGGACAAGTTTCTCGACCTCTCTGTGCCTGCTTCCTCATCTCCAAGGTAGAACTAACAGCTCCTGTCTCGAGGATTAAATGACACAAACTGCCAAGCATGTGGAATGCAGCAAATGTCCTACAAGTCGCTTTTGTTATCACCGATAATCACTACAGGAAAAGAGGGGACAGAAGTCACAGAAATTTCAGTGTCTCAGGGCCAACCCCAGCTTGTATCGAAAGAGCTTGGCCACCCCTGCCCCACGGAGGGCTCTGCATGGAACTTGGGGGCTCCTGGTTCTCACCCCAAGCACCCTGTCTGAATGGGACCCACAAGTGCAGACTGTCTCTGGTGGAAGAGAAACCTTTTGTAAAGACAGCCGGGCCAGCTCATGCGAGAGCCCGTCCCGCTCTCTGCATGCCAGCTAGGGACTGTCGTGGGCCAGAGCAGACCACCTCCGCACTCACACAGGCCTGGTTCCGGGGGCTGATGTTGGGGGATGGGGCAGGGCACCCCGGCTCCACTTGAGGCCCCAGTGCTGGCTCTGCCCCTCGAGAAGGTCAGACTGAGGAGCAGGGCTGCTCTGGGCCAGACAGGCTGAGAAAGTACCCGGTTCGACATCAGGAGCTTGAGGCCGGAACAGGCCAAGAGCCGGGCTGTGAGGCTGGCTACTCTGCCCTGAGGATGCGTGGGTGGCCCCTCACTTCCACAGTCACCAAACTCCAACATAGGAGCTGACAGAGAACGCAATGGGAACAGCTGGGTTCACAGGCCCCTCCGCCTGCTGAGGGGGACACACGCACCCCAGGGCATTCAGACACCGCAGCGAGTGGGGTCCTGTCTGGGGAGGAGGTGCAGCCCATGCACTGGAGGTCACAGCCCTGGCCAGCCCCTTGCTGGGCGGGCTTCCCCAGCTGGCTCACTCTGCCTGCTTCCACCTTTACATAATGCCCCAGACAGCCT